TGATGTTCGGTATCATTTCGTACGAGAAATCATAGAAGAAGGTGGAGTCACGGTGAAGAAAATTCATACTACAGAGAATCCTGCTGATATGCTGACAAAGGTGGTGACTGCGGTCAAGTTTCAACATTGTTTGGATTTGATCAACATTGTTGAACACTGAAGATTGAAGATGAAGACACAACCAAAATTTGTTATTGAGAGAGAATTGAAAATGTGGAATTTTGCCAAGGTGGAGATTTGTTGAAGTTTGGCAAAATGCCAAAGTCCCACATTGGTTGGGAGTTAAGTTTGGGGGGGATTTTTCCCCTATAAAAGAAGGCCTAATGTTTAGGATTGAAACACACCTCTCATTTGCCTTCTCATCTGTTTAAGGCATTTGTATCTTCTCTCTTTAGTATTATTTTACTTGTATTTTTGGAGTGAAATAAAATATTAGTTGTGTCCGAGGAGTAGGCAAAATTAGCCGAACCTCGTAAATTCTGGTGTTCCCTTTATTGTTGCTTTATTGTCTTATTTATTATTTGGTGACTGTCATAATTTTTGGTATAGTAATTGTGACTTATTCACACTATATACATTTGGCTTCCGCAACACGTATATCACCTTTAGTAGATTTAATCCCTAATGTATGTCAAAAGGAGATGAATTTGGTCCTGGAGCCCTAAAACTAATCGATTTTTCAGAACATGTTAACTTTAACCCAAGTAATCATTAGCTCCGCCAGCGACCTCTTACGGTTTTACTCCTCCCCTTACCCAACCCATAACGCGCCATAACCTATATATCAACACTTTTATAGAATTTCAAAAAAGAAAAGGGTAAAAGTTTTGATAATGGCAATTTTCTGAACTATCGAAGAATTAAGATATGGAACCCCAACTGAAGAAGAAAGTTAATATGAAAATGGCTTCAAAGGAAAAATAATCTTGAAAACGAAGTGCTCAACGAACCAGTATCACAGATTCATAATTCTTAAAGCCACTTCCTCTTATACCTCAACCCACAAGAAGGATTCTTGAATTAAGCAACACGAATGAACTCCAAAAGTACCCACTTGAGAGAACCAACATCTACGATGGCACCTTCTTGTTTAGCCTCTTAAATTAAAATAGATTATCACTAAAGTTCCGCCTACATGCAAAAGTTTTAAGAAATTTCAAAACAAGTTTTGCAAACCACGAAAATAAAGAACAGATGTTTTTTTTTTGCAAAAACATGTGAGGTGATGTTTGGCTTCAATATGGTTCATCTTAAAGTATATCACTACGGAGAACTAATAATTCTTTATAGCTCTAACAAAAAGAATTAACATTTCCAAAAAACACAAACAACCCAGTTCAAATAGGCAATTACTCAGACAAGAACAAATTCATATCTAAATAAATAACATGAGAGAAAAAGATGTAGGCTCAACTCAAAGTCCCAAAGAGACAACTTAACCGAAATTGGTTAGACACCCAAGAAGAAAAACGTCAGATAGCCCAAAAATCTAGTGGGGTCAAACAATAATTCCACATGAGATTCATGAAGATAAGAACTCTACATTGAATAGAAAGTGATACTCAATACACCAGATGAAAAGAAATCGAGCTTCCAAATCAACATAATGGCGGTTTTAGAGTAAAAAATACATTGCGAGGATATATGCCAAGTAATTTTGTAACAATTTGGCCGGTTGTTTTGAGTGTTTTAGCCTCGTTTCCCTATTTATTATTTCTTCTATGTTATATTATGATTATGTGACTTGTCGGGGTGGTTAGTTTTGGTTTCGTATGAGTTTCAGAGTGAATTGGGATGCTTAGTCCCAATGTTGGAAGCTTAAATTGAAAGAGTGATTGGAGTTTGACTTGTATGTAGATGACTCTGGATGGGGTTTTGACGGTTTCGATAGCTTCGTATGGTGATTTTGGACTTAGGATCATACTCGGATATTGATTTGGAGGTATGTAGGCCGTTTCAGCTTGAATTGACGAAAGTTAGAAAATTGAAGGTTTGGAAAGTTGAGAAGTTTGACCGGGAGTTGGCTTTATTGATATCGGGACCGGATTTCAATTTCAAAAGTTGGAATAGGTCCGTAGTTTCATTTATAATTCGTGTGCAAATTTTGAGGTCAATCGGAGTTCGTTTGGTATGAACCAATGTTAATTTTGGGCGTTGGGTGTTCATGATTTTCATAGGTTTGAATAGGGCCGTGATTCATAGAATCAAAGTTGTTTGATGTGATTTTAGGCCTCGAGTAGGTTCGCTATGTATTTTGAAACTTGTTGGTATGTTCGGACGGGATCCCTGAGGGCCCAAATGAGAATCGAATTGAAATCGGATCATTTTTGGAATTTGTTGATTGCTGAAGCTGCTGATGTTCTGGTGTCATCACACCTGCAGTAGGATTGGCCGTAGGTGCGGACACGTGGGTGCGAGAGTGCCATCGCAGATGCAAATTTGAGTGGACTGGGGGAGGACCGCATGTGAGGTCAACACTCCACAGAAGTGGGCTTGCAGAAGCGAGCCACTGGCCGTAGAAGCATGAGCGCAAGTGCGTTTTTGGTGCCCGTAGAAGCAGAATCTCAGGGCTTAAGTGAGAGATGCACCTGCGATGGAATTTTCGTAGGTGCGGAGTCGGAGAAGTGATCTATATTCCACAGAAACAGAAATCACTAGGCAAAAAAGGGGCAAATCAAGGGTTTTATTTTATTCTTGATCTTTTGATCTAGAGAGCTTGGTTTTTGGTGCTTTTTGAGAGAGATTTTCAAGGAGTTGATCGGGATAAATGATTCTAACTTAGATTTGGCTATTATACATGAATCCATAGTTGTTTTTATTACCCGAGGCTAATTCAGTTAGGAAGTCTTGTTAGTATTTGGAAGAAACTAATATAGAATTATTACCCGAGGCTAATTAACATAAACTCGCTCATATTTGTAAAGTCGTGAAATACATTGGATCGTTACTTGAGTGTAATTCCCCGTGTATCCATACTTGTAGCCATTGATCATTTTACTTGCTTTTTTGGTTAGTTTACCATTTTGCATTTAGTTATAAACATTTTCTAAAAATAATTCTAAGTGTTTTGCATTGCATAACAAGTGATAATTCTCTTATATTCCTAATCGCCTACATATTGTTCTCTGTGAGATTCAACCCCGACTCATAGTTGGGTAAATTATATTGTATGCGACCGTATCCATTTACTTTTTAGTAGTGGATTTGGACGTCATCACTCTGAACAAGTTCAGACAATTGTTGCAACTTCACACAATTCTCTGATGAAGATTCTATGTATAACTCAACTAGTAACACATTGGCCTATTCCTGCTTTAAGACTGCATGTGCACACAGCATTCAAAGGAACAGGAACTGTACATTTGCGTGCCTCTGTTGATCATCTTCTGAACACTGATAGGCTGCCTCCCAGTGGTATTAGCATGATATCATGCTCATTCTGGGGGTGGTCTTATGGTGCAAGGAGAGTCACATAGTAGCAAGATTTGGCCAGTGATTGTCACAAGAAAGCAGGAGGTAGAAACATCATGGTACAGCCCATTCTACTCACACGCAGTACTCTGAACAACTTTGGAATTTAAGTACTGTATGGGGATGTATCTTACCAGTGGTATTACCATTTTATAATTCTCATTTTGGGAATGATATAGCACCATACGAGAAAGAACTAAAGCTTGTTCTGGAGTAGGGAATTTGTGCAGCTGATAATGACTTTGTCCATTCAAGACTGGGTAAACAAGTATGCTTGGAAATGGTCCTTTCGAAACTTCTGCTAGAAATCCAATTATCCAATACCCAATCAAAAAGGTCAAAACTGGTGTGGTCTAGCTGCACAAACAGTCGACTAACCAGTCATATGATAATACGCAACAACTAACAAGGAATCTTTCTCGGCAAATGCATCACAACATTTGGAAAGACTAAGGTGTCAAACATAGTTCCACGCATCATCAGATTTTTAGACAGCTACAGCAATTGAAGGTACCGTTAGTGATTCAGTTTGACCAATTTGGTAAGCAAAACATGGCGCATGATGAGAGATTTCGAGGTGCTACACTGACGTTTTGCACGTGGTTAGAGGATACAAACGCCACCTTCAGCTTGAAGTTGTCTACCTCAAACTTTTGTAATAGTTAGGTGTAATTGCTTTTGCTCATTTTCCTTCCATTTGTACGTATCTTGTATTAACTGGATTCCTATTTTGGATTATTATTTATATATTTACCACAAGGAATCAAGTTGAGTGGTATATTTGCTTAAAAAAAAGTTCAAAAGTTCATTAAGCTTGAATCGCTGTGTGATTCATGATTTTAGTATTATTTGATATGATTTGAAGGCTCGACTAAGTTCATATGAGGTTTTGGGACTTGTTGGTATGTTTGGTTGAGGTCTCGGGGGCCTCGGGTGAGTTTTAGATGGTTAAGGGATCAATTTTTGGACTTGGTGTTATGGCTGAAGTTTTCTGGTGCCTATGTTTGGTTTCCTTACATGCGATTGCGTGGATGGGTCCGCGATCGCGTAGGCTTATTTGGACAATGGTAAAATTTTACTCTACGTGTTCACGAGCTGGAGTACTCGATCGCATAGGTTAGACCAGGCAGAGCATCGCGAACGCGTGGGCTATGCCGCGTTCGTGGAGAGGAGTAGACTGGGACCCCACGCATTTGGTCTATGTGTTCGTGGAAGGGGAGTCATGTTCGCGAAGCCTGGGGTCAGTTAGGCACCGCGTTCGTGAGTGTTACCTCGCGTTTGCATAATAGGATTTTGGCGTCAGAATAGTTTGTGCTACGCGAACGCGAGAGGGGGGTTGCGTTCGGAAGAAGGGTCACCTAGGCAAAAACTTTTTTTTAGGGAAATCCGTAGCTAAATTTTTCATTAAACACCACCAAAATAAAAAATACATAAGCCATTCGAGCTATCGAGCCAGGTCATCTAAATTTCCTTTATCCCGTCCCAACTAACCCCCCCAAAAAAACGAAAACAAAAAAGAAAGAAAACCTTAAAAAGAGGGTATCTATTTATCAAGGAAAGGGCTGAAAGGGATTCCTACATCAACTTTGCCATAATTTTCTGCAATTCAACAACTGTTCAGTTTTTAATCATCCTCCTCCTCCTCTTCGCTTCCATCATCGTCCTTGTCATCATCATGAACCTCAGACTTTGACTTGTCTGATTCCTCCTCTTCTGCATCACCAGCCTGTTTTCTGTTATAGGCATCCATGTTCTTTTGGTATTCAGCCTTTCTTTTCTCAGCCTTTGCCCGGTAAGGTGCTTTCTCAGCATCTGACAATTTTTTCCACGCGTCTCCGCCAGCTTTACTAACAGCGGCAACAGATTTGTTGTTTGGGTGCTTTTCCTTGTACGTCTTCCTAAACTCCTCCATGAAAACGAAGAAGGCATTTGGAGGCCTCTTAGGCTTGTTTGGATCCTTCACGACTTTCTTCGCTTTCTTCGTCTCCGTAGCCTTCTTCCTTACTCCAAGCTTGGAATCAGCTCCAGCCTTAGATTTAACTCCTTTCATGACGAAACCTCTAGAGAGAGAGAAACAAATAGATGTATATTCCTTTGGTGCGTTGTGAGTGAATTGGTTGAGCGAAGGGGCGAGAGATGAGAAAGTTCCAAGTGAGGGACTGTAAAAGAATTTTGCATAGTGTAAATATCGAATAATAGGCAGAAACTTAAATATTTCATAACGAGGGTTTGAGTTCATATCACAAATTTGATTTTGGGATCTCGGTAGGAGGCGATTCTTGGATAGATTTTACGTGGGTGATTGGGGTAAGTGATTATTACTTAGTTTTGGTTAAATTCCATGTTTATGTCTTTGATTTCATCATTTAATTAGTGATTTGGGGTGAAAATTAGAAAAAATGGAGGAAAGTTCTTAGGTCAATTTTTGGGGATTTGATCGAGATTTTGGTATCGGATTTAAGTAATTTTTGTATGGGTGGACTCATGGTTGAATAGGTGTCCAGATTTTGTGACTCTTATCAAATTTCGAGACCCGGGGGCAACTTTTTGGGTTGACTTTTTGACTTTTGATTAAGATTTTAGCATTTTCTTATGGAATTGATTCCTTTAGCTTGTGTTGATTGTATCGAACTGTTTGTGTCTATATTCGAGCCATTTGGAGGCCATTTCACAAGGTAAGGGCTTGTCGGAGTAGGGATTTGCATAGTCTGAGGTAAGTAACACTTCTAAACTTGGTTCTGAGGGTACAAAACCCTGAATTATGTGTTATGTGATTGGTGTTTAGGTGACGCACATGTTATGCGATGGGCGTGCACAGTGAGAACTGTAACTTGGTCGATTCCATGAAATTGTATAGTTGATTTATCATGTTGTTATCCATATTTTCATCATGTGATAAAGTAATTGAGTTGTCAGTCACGATAGAAATCATGCTTAGGCCATGTGTTGGTACTGTAAGGGCTCGTAGAGGCCGTGTTAAATGTTGAGTTAGTTGCTAAACTGTCATTTTGTACTTAGTCATAGCTTTTATTGTATATTAGATCTCAGTCTATGTTGTCCTTTTATTGATACATTATACCTTCATTATTTGGGCTGATTATCATGATTTTTGAGAGCCCGAGTGATTGGAGAAATTGATGACTGAGTGAGGCCGAGGGCCTGATTGTGAGGATATTTATGGGAGCGGGTTGCACTCCACAGTAGGTTAATTTGATTCATGTCATGATTGTCCTATTATAGCGCTTGGGCTAGAAATGCCCCTCCGGAGTCTGCACATCCACAGTGAGCACAGGTACCTACTAAGTGCGAGTACGAGTGATTGGGAAGAATGAATGATTGTGAGGTTGGAGTGAAAGGGAGGACTGAGTGACTGTTATCTGAGAGTATGCACCTAATTTCATTATTGTTGTACTTCAACTGGCATATATCACTGTCATGTAGTTACTGAGATGTACTATTTCCTGTTTCAATTGAACTTGACATGAATTAACTATTTTGGCCTTAACTGTCAAACTTGAGAGCATGCCTACTTTCCTGTACTGTATTTCTGATATTGAACTACCGTCACTACTTTCGGTCCAATAGTTAGTCTTGTTACATACTGAGTTGGTTCTACTCACGCTACACCCTGCACTTCGTGTGCAAATCTAGGTATTTTCGGACACAGTGGGAGCTGATTATATGAGCAACTTGATCATTCGGAGATTTCGAGGTAGCTACCCGGCGTTTGCAGACCTTGACTCTCCCTCCCTATCTTTCAGCTTTATGTATTTAGTTACAGCTTTTCATAGACAATATTTTTCAGACTTGTGTTGTATAGACGCTCATGTACTCAGTGACACCCTGGTTTGGGAATTTTTGAGTTGAGTTTTGACCTTTTATCCAGTTATGAAAGCTTTAATTATTCAATTCTGTTTTAGTTCATCTCTTTATCTAAAAGTGTTGGAATTTATTGAGTTGTCGGCTTGCCTAGTACCACGTAAGGCACCATCACGACAGTCCATGTTTTGGGTCGTGACAGCAGGTGCGGTCACACCAGAACCCCTGCCAAGCCAGCATAGCCAAAATGATCCAAAACGATCTGAACCTCGTCCGAAACTCATCCAAGCCCCTCAGGACCCCGTCTGAAAATACCAACAAGTCCCATAACATAACACGAACTTACTTGAGGCCTCAAATCATACATAACAATATTGAAACCACGAATCATACCTCAAATCGAACTTAATGAACTTTAAACTTTCAACTTCCAAAACTTGTGCGAACTATAACAGATCAACTCAGAATAACTTAAAAATTTGTACACAAGTCCCAAATGATATAACGAAGCTATTCTAATTCTCGAGACCACAATCCGAATCCGATATCATCATAGTCAACTCCCAATCAAATTTATAAACATTTCAAACCTTCAAATTGCCAACTTAATCCAAATAGTGTCGAAACCTTCTAGAAACATCCAAATGAAAATTCGGGCATACCTCCAAGTCCAAAATCACCATCCTAACCTAACGAAACCATCAAAACTCTGATTTGGGGTCAAATACACAAAATTCAAATTTGGTTAACTCTTCCAATTTAAAGCTTCCTAGTTAAGAATCATTCTTCCAAATCAATTCTGAATCACTTGAAAACTAAAATCAGTGATTCACACAAGTCATGATATATCATATGAAGCTAGTCAAGATATCAAACAGTTGAATAGAATGCAAATTCTCAAAACGACCAGTTGGGTCGTTACAGAATTTTTCCTAATAATTAATATTGTTTGTCACACAGGGATGATGTATATATAAGGTGATGAGCGTATATACATGTGCCATGGGTATTTATACTCGAAGTAGATTCTAGACTACTTTATGTCTTATTTGATTGTGTGTTCTACTAGTTCTATATTTTACTCAATTGATTGACTACATAAGCATAATTAATCATGCTAGAGTTAATGTAGAGGCTAATGATATCTTATTTTGAGCATGATCAACTATTCTTGAGTTCATCGCTATACTTGCATTAGACGTAGTCACATGTATATTATGAACGCATGTCTGTCGTTGTTATTCTTATGTTATGCCTTAAATTGATGTATGCCTACTAGAGTTATCTTACCCATGTTAAAGATTATAAAATGTCTTTTGATATTTATTTAGGCATGATGATGATTTGGATGATGTATTACATGTATGGTTTGTGGTCATACATACATATAGGCATACATCCAACCTAGGCAGAGGCGGATGTAGTGTGTTAGTTATGGGTTCAATTAAAATTTATGTAATGTCTTTCGATGCAGCGTAGAAATTTATGTGTAAAAATTCATTAAAATTGCAAAAATAATAGATTTTAACCCATAACTTTAAAAATATAATGGGTTCAATGTTAAAAATCTTAAAAGTTGAACCCATAGAGTTTAAATCCTGGATCCGCCTCTGAACCTAGGGATCATCTCTTATATACATCCATATATCCATGCATGGTTATTTCTCTGTCCATGTGCATTGTATATGCTTACATCATATTCATATGGATACATCACTGCATATGATTCTCGGATATGGACTGAGGTTATGACATGATGTTTCTGTCGTGCGGATATTGTGATATTATTATTGATTTGGCATGAGATCTTTGTCGTGAGATAATTGTGATATTGTTTTTAATTTGACACGAGGTCTTTGTCGTGTGGTAAATTTGATGTGAATTTATATTGGCACGAGGTCTTTGCCATGCGTTTATGGTGATATTGATATTATTGCAACACGAGGTTTCTGTCATGCAGTATATGAGGCTTCGTCCATGCATCGTGTGGATAAGGATCCATCTTCCTAGGATCGTCCTCTCATATTTCTCTCTTGATGGCGTATACGCAGGTTGTGAGAAATTGATAGCTTCCTAGTTGATTGTTATGTAAGATCCAATGTGATAAGTAATTGAGCATGAAGGTGGAAGCTTGCCCATTCAAGTGAATCATTTGTGCATATACACGCATTTATATGTTCTCCCCATGCATATAATCTATCTATGCAAGTTGATACATTTTGCAATGCATGTGACATTATTAATGAGCTGTTTTACTCTTAGAAAGTATCAAATGGATATAAAAAGAGAGTTATTATCATACATTGATATGTTGGACCCATGTAAAGGTTTCATAAACATACCAATTAGAAATTGATATGAAATTGGATCATTATTGTATATAAACACTCTACATACATGTGGAGTATTTGTGTATACGTTGGTGTATGTCTTTTTTGTGCACAGATTTGGTACAAGTTGTATTTTCTTTGACCTGTTTAATTGGAAAAAAATATTTATTATCTCTTTTTCAACTATGCATCTTTATTTGCGATATTTACTGTTCTATGACTATTTCCCTGGATACTTTTCTGCCATATATATGCTATTACACTGCACGGGTTATATGAGTGAGTATCTTTTGACTTAAAAACCTCGTCAGTGCTTCACTGAGATTACTCAAGTTACTTACCGAGTACATGAGGTCAGTTGTACTCATACTACACTTATGCACCTTGTGTGTAGATTTTGGAGTTGAGTTGTTGTGGAGGACAAAGCCTATCATTAACGACGTACCATCATTCCATATATAAACTACTACTTGTTCATGGTAGCTTAGGACTTATATTTCTGTTTATATAAATTTCAAATAGATGATGTATTTTTCTTCAAACTAGAGTTGTATTCTTATTCTTAATCGCTCATGACTTGTACTACCAGTTCTTTTGATAGTTGTATTGATTTTCATATTCTTATTTATTATTATTGATGATTTTTCATTAGAGTTGCATCTTTGATTATTTAGCTTACCTAGCGGGTTGAGTTAGGTGCCATCACTATTATGTGAGATTTTGGATCGTGACACTCCCAAACACACAAATCTGAACAACTAATGGTACGTGCAAGTATGAGGGTGTCTAGCCCATTCCCTAACCCTCAGCTTTTACACCTGGGAAGGTTAACCACATTTTTCTTTTCTGAATCTAGAGTGTTGATACCCAATTTTCCTTATATTTTTAATTTTTAATATATATACACTTCCAAAATAGCATATATGCATATATAAGCATGCATAAGCATTTTTATAATT